CAAAAAATGGATAGATGGTCCTTAAGCTTCAAAAGTACTTTCTATAATAACTACTCCTTCCGTCCCTTTAAGTTCAATCCTAATGGGCAATTTTCACGGGAATTAAAAACTTAAATAAGAAATAGTAAAAGTACATGGAAAAGGTAAATTCACATGGGGTTTGCAAAAAAATAGAGTGAGAAATTAATAAAAGTACATGGAAAAACAAAATTTACATGGAAAAACTAAATTTGCACAAATATTGTTACGAATTGGAGGGTATCTCAATGCAAATGGGATGAACATTTTTGGACTAAAATTTGACCAGAATGGCCAAAGTTAAAGGGACGGAGGGAGGACAAATTATTTAATTTGTTTCATTGTTTGTCTAATAAATGGGGAGTTGGGAGATAGCTCGATGTTAGTTAATGTAATTACCATATTTCCAATTGTCCATATGATTTGTTTGGGACTTGTCTTGTTTGTGCGAAAATGATGTGTCTATGTAGAATTATAGACAATAATGGGAAATGTGACTTTTATGGAATAATTGGGAAGCTTTCTATTGTCAATTTTTTTTTAAAAAATGAAAATCTAGCTAATTGTGTATGCTTTTCACTTCTGATCTTGGAGTTGATTGAACATAAACTTTACATTTACCGTTTTAATAATTATTATTTCATCCATCTGAAATCATGATAAGTGTAGACTCAACACTTTTCAATATCAGACATCGAGTTATATAGTTTTACTTCAAGACGAAGAGATTATAAAACCTTAAGACTATACTCCCTCTTACATTTCTTATTAATGAAATACGTCATATTACTATGTTAGTTTTAGCCAAAACATAATTTATTAATTAAAAATATATAATTTATAATGATAGTTTGATTACCAAAAAAAAAATAAAAAAAAATAAAAAAAAAACCTCCAATTTTGAATAGTTGATAAACCTGGTCTATATAAAGTTATGCTGCTTTAAGGCCCAACATCCCAGGTTTGATACCCAGTGGAGTTACGCAGATTGGCCCAATAATCTGGTAAACACAATTTAACTAACTTTCGGCTAAGTTGAATACCCAATTATTGGGCCACAATAATTGTCATCTTGCATGTAAATTGTACTCCGTAAAACCCAAATACTCGCAAATGATACTAAAGCAGAGCTTTGATAATCACTCCTATCTATAAGGGGGGACTTAACTAAATTTTGCGTGCTAAAAGATACCTCGGTTTGCGTGGCACATGTAAAATGAGGCATTTTTGTTAATATTTTTCAATTTTGATATCAAATCGGACCCTTACGACAAAGATGACCCCAAAAAGCTCTAAAGAATATGTTTTTGGCACGAAAATCGAAGATTTTTTTAAAAAACTTTAGATTTAACGGTTTTGGTGATAAAATCTAATTTTCATGTCTTTTATGGGTGGTAATTTAAAATAATTTTTTTTTGTGTGGTAATTTTAAAAAGTGGTTTTTTTTTTGTGGGTGGTAAAATATAAAATTTCCTATTATTAAAATCAATTTCTGAAAAAAAGTCTATTCTCTCTAACAATAATAATTTAACTTTTTTTCTTAGATACCCCTTTTATAATTCAATTTTTCTATGAGCTCTATCTTTTTATTTTTTTTTTAATATTTGATGTATTATTTCTTTTGGGAATTTTTTTTGTTTTTAATTTTGGTATGAAAATATAAACAAATTTAGAAAACTTATTTGTTCAAATCATGCATCGCACAAGACTAATTTAGTGTAGTAATAATCCTACGTGACTTTATTATTTCCTAGAAAAAAATCACGATAAATGGTCAAAGACAAATGTATGGATATTGTAAAAGGCCAAATGTTATAATTAAAAAGAAAAAAAAGGAAGTACTTCATTTTACAAAAGAAAAGAAACATACGGTGTAGTTTTTTTTAATTATAAACGACGAGGTTAAAAAAATTTGGAACGATTTCTTTGTAATTGTTTTTATGGTGAAATGTACTTCATGCTCAAAAATGTACGTAGTATATAGTCTATATACTATTTAAATATTGTAAGCGCGACATTGATAGAAATAGTTATGAGTTCGTTTTAAAATTTGAGAGCATATGAAAATAAGCTACCTATCAAGGAGTCCAATACTTTGCATAATTGCATACATTTGATGTATCTTTGACAAAGCAAATAAGTTATAAGTCGTAAAAGTTACCTGTATGGTTGTATGTTAGTTCTTCAAAAGTAATCATGTATCTTTTTTAATATGTTTCATTCTAAAACCAATTAGCAATAAAAGAAATATACGGAGTAACCCCAAGCCATCACAGATGTCAATTTCTTCTCTCTTCTCTAACAATAACAATATATGACGTACAATTAATTAACATGCTAATTTTTGTTCCTTCAAAAAAAAAAATCTAATTTTTGTAATATTGAGTTTTGATAGTCGCAATTTTAATAGTCTCCAACTACTCAATGTAATACATTTCAACTTGCACTCTTTAAAAGACTATATGACTAAAAACTTATTTATAAATGCCCTTTAATAAACATGAAATATTAATCAACAACAGAATAAAATGTACAGTAAAACTATTAGCACAACATACATGTACATATATAAACTACAAATTATATATTACCTTGATATCCAATAAAATAATTTCAATAGAAATAAATACTACTCGGACCATTAAAGGCAATAATAATCCACAATTAGGCAACACTAACCTATATTATTAATAGTACATTTTCTGTTTATGAATTGATGCTCTACATGATATCGTCGCTCTTTATTATTATATAAAATTGTGTTTGAAGCTATCCTATAATTATTGTTTGTTTATTTCCTTAAAAGTTTATTTGTAGATGATAGCTATTTATCGAAAAAAAAAGATACACAAAAAGATGTCACTTTTCACTACATCCGACATATCTTTTACTATGCAACTTATATATAAAGTCGAATGTAATAAATTTATTATATCAATCAAATATTTCAGCAAAAGAGAATAATTTTTTTTGTATTTACTAAGATATTAATTATTTAATTATGTAACAAAAAATTGATTGATATTTTCCTAGAATTAGACATATGATATAGTTGTCGAACACAACATTTATTTCATAGTCATATCCAATACTCCATTAGTCTAAGAAACAAAATATTAGAAATATTTAAAAAAAATAAAATAAAGTGATGTTTTAAAGTAATTTCTTTAATATCAATTATATGAATCAAATTTATTATTACTTTTTGGGCAAAATTCAATAATACTCCGTCTAAAAGATGTCCAAACAGTAATGATTGTATCTTATATCTGAACCAATGGTTCACTTTTTCTATAATTTAAAAAGAGTTGGAATAATATTTTAGGTAAATGTGTATGGAAGAATTAAGAACACGAAATAAAAAGAAATACATTTTATGTAAAGATAATACATAAGATTTGGAATAACATTATTATAGTTATATTATACAAATATTTTAAAAATAAAATATTCTTTGCCAAAAGAGGAGGGGGAGTTTTGGAGGGAAAAAACAACACCAGAAATTGATACGTGTCATTCATGATATTTGTTTCAATATTATGTTATTATTGATACATAAAAATTCAGGTAATAATAATTTTTCAATCAAACATCCCTTGTATATCCAAAATATTACTGCCTTTACTGGCAGTCAAGTAATCAAAATATAGCAATAACCGAGTTTTGAGATGTGCAAAAAATAATCCAATTTATCTTGTAGCCAATAAAAGGGGAAAAAAAAAAGAAAAAAAAAAATTGTACTTTTGTGTGTGTGTGTTTTTTTCTTGATATGATATCCTTTTGCACCTCTCGATAAAAACCGACTTTTTTAAAAGTTAAACATTAGTATCTAGATTATACTTTCTAGTAACTCTTACCATTTTTAACAAACTACATACTGGAAGTACCTTATAAGATAATTCACTTAATTATTCATTAACATATACTGCAAGTAGGAATTTTTGTGAGTTACAAGTATTAATAGTGACGCACAAGACCAAACAAATTTAACATGGATTTAAAGTAAAGCTGGTCATGTCATTTTTTAATTATAAGCATATTCTAATGAAAAATGTCTATTATGAGATTTGAACTCACAATTATCAAAATATGCATTAGAAGTCTTACCATCTCATTTATTAACTAATCACACTTTTATACTCGACTCATAAATATATATATGATTGGATCGGAGATCTAAACATTTAATGACTGCAATTTTTGATTGATTATATTATTTGCTAATAATGCTCATCGATGAGGTAATGCATACAAGAAAAATTAACTATTGTTATAAACTAATTTAGTTATTTAGTTATTTTGATAATAATTATATCTTTATTTTCATTGTATTATAAATTATATACGAAGGACATGTTTATATAATTAGTCAATAGTTGTTCCATAAATAATTTATTTAAAGGTTTAATGAAAAACTATTATCAATAAACAATAATGAATAAATCTATAATAAAGAATGATCCTATCTATTCAATTATAAGTGTTCAAAGTAACAACCCAGGGAATCGCCCTGACCACACACTAATTTAAGTTTAAATCTCACATATTTGTCAAACAATTGCGTTATTTAAACCATTTATTGTATAGGATAGCTATGTTAAAAGCTCCAAAAGATGATTGTTTATAAAAAGAATTATTGTATATAAATAGCATTTTCTTACAGTTTTAATTAATATAGTGAATTAGTGATGGTTGTCCATTTATAGGTCCTAATCCTTAAAAAATATCATCTAAAATAATCGATTGACTCTAATGTGATACTTATATACGGAGTATTAATAATTTTGTTATAATAGCTTACTCTTCAAATAATTTGTTTAGACCTCTCATCATATTAAGTCTCGTTAAATGTTTTAATGTGGTAAGTACAATATCAAATCCCGCCTATAACTCAGTCTAATTTTCTATTTTTACACTAAAAGCTGTTTACGTTATCCAATTGCTCAAAGTAAGCTTAAGGACACGAAGAAGAAAGCAACATCCAAACTACCAACGTTGACTAAAACACAATGTATGAAATTTAGGGAATTTCTTTTTTTATTTTTACAGATCCTAAAAATCCAATCATCAACACACGCTTTTCGGTGCAGGCGTTTGTTGGATTGATTATTACTTGTATTTCAGTAAAAAAAAATCCCACATCGTTGTTCATTCTCTCTTCAATTTTCTATGAACATTCCTTTTTTCTTGTCCAAATTTATTTAACATGTTTTGCCCCTTTTGCATAATAATAATAATTGATTTGATTAATCGTGTGAATGTTTTGTTTTAATAATTAGTAGACAAAAGGCATCATTTTGCTTCAATTTTGTTTAGTGTTTCTTTTTTTATTTTTTTTTTTATGGACAATTACACCTTTCCATTGCATTTGAGGTGGACGTCCTATCTTTGTTGAGTGTTGAATTTCCCCCCCTTTTTTCCGGGCTCTTTCTTCAAGAAAACATCTAAACAATAACCCATTTTGCAAAATTTGTTCTGTTCTTCTTTTTCTTAAAGAATTGGGTATATAGTATATTCATCAATTTACAATTTTTTTGTGGGTGTTTGAGGTGACAGTTGAGGTGATTATTTCTGGTTGGAAATTGGGTGAATTATGATGATTGGGTTGTTGGGTATTAAGGTTCTAAAAATTTGATCCCTACAAGAAGAATTTTGGTGTGTATTGCATAATTTGAAGGAGAATGAATATTAGGGTTCTAAGATTTTGATCCTTTTGGTGGGTATTACTCAATTCTGATGATTTGAAGGAGAATTCTGAAATGGGTATGTAGTCTTTTATTTCATGAAATGAAACCATATGTTATACTTCGTATTTGTTTAATGGGTTATTTTATTTTATGATTTGGTTTGTTTGATTGTCAAAGAAATCGTCTGCATTTGGGTAAGAATTTTGAGTTGCCTGTTATTTTTGGTTGTGAATTATGATGCATCTATACATTTTGTATTATAGGGATTCATATTGAAGAGAGATCAGCAGTAATTTTTGGTCGTTACACCAAACAATCTCATACTTTGATGTAAAGAAAAAAAAACAGTTCGTTGGTGAGTTGTTAGTTGCTTGTAGAAATTAAGGTGGCAAAATTACTTACTTTGTTTATGTTATCCAAATCTGGGATTCTGGGATATTTCAATGATGGAGAACAAAAATAAGAATAATACTAGTTCTTCTTAGCTGCCTAAGGTGAAGGAGGAGGAATTGGTGGTTTGGGGAGTAATTTAGTTTATGATCCTCCCCTTCTTTAGGCAATGAAGTTCTTAAGCATAGTTGGGAACTCTTTAGGCTGCTCTGCTTCAGGAGAACGCCTGGTTTCGGCTGCTAGAGATGGCGATTTACAGGAAGCCAAGGCGTTATTGGAGTACAATCCTCGTCTTGTGAGGTACTCGACTTTTGGTGTTAGGAACTCCCCCTTGCATTACTCTGCAGCTCAGGGCCACCATGAGGTAAATGAATGCCTCTCAGGGTTTGTAAAATTCTTGTGTGCTTTTTAAATTTGCAAGTGTTTCAGTATTTGAGACTGTGGTTGATTTGATGCTTAGATTGTTACTCTTCTGCTCGAGACCGGTGTTGATATCAATCTTAGGAATTATCGTGGCCAGGTAATTGCATTATCTATGATTATTGTCATAGTCTTTAATCAGTTGTAATTTTCAGTAGCCAGTAGATTGTACGGAATATCATTTCAACTTGCTTGTGCATTCTACAGGCTAGTTTTGTCGGAAAATAATCCTGGCTATCATTCTTCTTATCATGTTAAAGCTTGATTAGTTTGCCCTATTTTAAGCTCTTCCATATTACCATTAGTATGGGTTGATTATAAATGGCAGTATATAGTTTTTACAATGCATAGTTAGTCATGTTAGATTAGCTATTCAATCTTCTGTGCTGAATAGAAAATACGATTTGATGTACAGACTGCTCTGATGCAAGCATGTCAGCATGGTCACTGGGAGGTTGTACAGACTCTGGTTCTTTTCAAAGCCAATGTATGTTCACTCCTCTTCTGCTTTAGGTTTTGAGAACTAAAACAGAATTAACTACTTTTAGGAGTGTGTGTATATATGCAAGTTAATTAATACTCTGTAGTTATTTGAGATGTAGATTCACAGAGCAGACTATCTTAATGGGGGTACTGCTCTTCATCTAGCTGCTTTGAATGGGCATACTCGGTGTATTAGGCTCCTTCTTGCTGATTATATCCCTAGCATTCCTGTCACTTGGAATCTATTACAAAAGAAATCTAAAAATGAATATGGAAGCTCAGAGTTTAATGCAAGGTATTATGGCTCAATAGTGCCTTCATCTTCTTGTTACTTTTCCAAACATGAATATGCTTTATTGATTTCTGTGTTCTGCTTTCCTGGACCAGTGCCCTTCGCCAAGTAATCAACAAACCTGCGGATGGAGGGATCACAGCACTTCATATGGCTGCATTGAATGGGCATTTTGAAACTGTCCATCTACTTTTGGATCTTGGAGCTTCTGTTAGTGAAATAACTGTGGAAGATGGGACTACAATTGATCTCATAGGTAAAGCTGTCAGAACTCCTGTCTTTTTCTTCAACTATCATTAAAGAATTTATGCAATTTGCTACATAAGCCAAAGTCTGCAATTTGTTTGCTGATTTGGATCTTAAGATTGATGTAATTGCTGGGGTGAGGCAGGTGTAAATGAACTGACCTAAGGAGTGACATTATGGGTAGTCTATTATTATAATGTTAATAGTCTTCAGATTTATTATAAATAGAGAGAGATGAGGAAGGAGGAGGCAAGCAGATTGTGGTTGATTCCTAGGAGAGTTGTGACCTCAAGTCACTATTATGAGAGTTGTGACCACAAGTCACTATTTGGAGAGTGGTAGCATAAAGCTACCGTTGTAAAAAATCTTATGGCTTAATCTTAATCAAAGACTCAATCTTTCTTTCTAACTCTTCTTATTTCTTTGATAAATCACAATTTGTGAGCTTGAATCCATTACAAGGATATATCATGTTGATTAATAAACAGGTAAAAGCATGAGAAGAAAATAGCCTTGGATTCTGGGATACATGATCAAGACTTTTCTCATTCTATCAACTCATGCCTTTGTTTCTTTGTTCAAGTGCCACAACTATATTTATACTTTACAGACATGTAGAGTAGTCCTTAGGTGTGGCCTTCCACCTATAAATACATGTATTCTGTTACAGGTTCCCTAAAGTTTAACGATATAAAATTTCTGTCAGTCCTGCAGATCTTATGTAAAATGAAATAACAAAAGTTATTTAGTTCTTAATTGTACAATCTGATGTCTTAATTGTGTATGCATAGCATCAGAGTTTAACCTGCATATGTTTTTCATAGTAGTCATGTTCTCAACAAGTTGGGCTCTTTTCATTTTGCAGGTGCAGGAAGCACTCCTCTACATTATGCAGCTTGTGGCGGAAATCAGCAGTGTTGTCAAGTAGGGTCCTTCATTCTCTAATTTATGACATGTGCATCACACGGGTTGTATCAATAGAAAGAGCGGAGAAAGATGATAAATATGAGAGAGGGAAGGGGAAGGAGAAAAATAATTGAAGCCTTCGAAGCGAATGAGATAAAGAGAGATACCAAATGAACAACTATTTATTGCTTGATATTAATTTTTTGCAAGAAAATTGGAAATTTTAAGAGGACACATTTACCTTTGGCCCTTTGGGTTTGTGTACTAGGTATAGTTTTATTTTGATCTTGGCCACTGGAATCTGACTGATCTTCCGAATTAAACTTTCTGTTTCAGCTTTTGATTGCAAGAGGTGCCAGTCTGACAGCTGAAAATGCAAAGGGGTATGTGTCTTCTTTGCCATTGATGTTCTCATTGGTCTTGTGTTTTTACTACTTAAATGTGCCTCAAAGCCACCTCTTTTTTCTTCATAAAATAGCTAATTATACGCATATTATGAAGAACTCGATTTTCTATCTGTATATATGAAAATTTGTTTTGGTTGACTTCCCCCTCCCTCTCTTCCAAGGCTAGTAACATTACTCTACTAAGATGATTAACGTGGCTAATACTTGTGATACAAGGAGAAAAATATTATTTTTTTTTTTAAAAAAGTACTGGGGTTGACAGTCTAAGGTTGTACCAAGGACACTCAAAGTTTTGAATATTTCAGAATGGAAAGCCAAACGTCTGAAAGTTGTGACTTCAGACTTTCAGAGTCACTGACTAGTGACTACCTGCTGCCACTAAAGTTATTTGGTATCTACTCTATACATTATGGGTCATTATGGCTTGATTGTAATGCAAAAATTTGTTTCGTTGAATATTTTTCTTGCAAGTGATCAATGTCGTTTGGTTATCTAGAATTTGCTTGAAAAGGACTAATAGCTGTCTGATCACCCATCTTTTTGGATAATACTCAATGAACCATGTTTCCTTTAGTTAATGCTTCTATGCATCATATGGGGTAGTTTTGGCCGTAGATTTGATGCCATTATATCCCAAGGGAGAGAACAATCTCCTATATTGCTTCATCTCCATGAGCACTTTCATTAGATTGAATAACTGTGTGTACTCTTGATCTTAACAACTCTTTGTTTCGATGCTGTATCATTAAATCAAGGTCTTAGAATGCTAATGAAATGAGGTTTCCTTCTTATCTTTGTCTGTTGTCTTTATCTGTTGGTCTTATGGTTTGTATCGAAATGGTCTTATGGTTTGACTTCAGTGACTATGAAAAATAATTAAAGTATAAAATTTTCTCGAGAGGCACAATTTCCAGCTTATTGCACGCCCTTATATATAAATTTGGTAGCTCTATCTTGAAGCTACATTTTAGAGATCACATATCGTATATTAAATACTTTTAATAACTCGCTTTCTTGACTTGTTAGATGATGCTTGTGCTTACTGTGAAAACCTTTTGAATGTTGGTCGGTTTTTGCACACAATCTTGTTTACTCAATAACTAATTTTTTTTGCAAAATCTTCCATTTTTCTGCATGTTCTAGATGGATTCCATTGATGGTTGCTCGTTCATGGCATAGAGATTCAATTCTAGAAATTCTTTCAACACCTCAAGACATCCTATTACCATCTATTCCTTCACCTTATTTGTCTCTTCCTCTGATGAGCATTATCAAAATTGCAAGGTAAGCAAACCTCTATTTTGGCTTGGGGGTGCATTTCTAATCTTTTAAGTCTGTGGTTTGGTAATTATTTCGGATTTAGCAGCATTCTAGAAAATCCGTATGGTACAAGATCATATTTTTTTACTGTTAGCTTTGTATTTACATTATCTTGATCTTGCCTTGTACAAGAGGGTTATGCTGGAAACAACCTGCATATAAACCCCCTATCCTGATCCTCCTAGTCCTAGTTCGGGCTTAGTTAGACTATTATGGCTGCTTCCAGGTGCTTAGAAGTTAGAAGTTTAGGGCATAAAGGGGCTAGAATGTGACTTGCTTCTAAGGATATCTGAGTCATATTTGTGAAACCCGCTGGTCAATTTCAATAATATAACGGTTATGAGGAAGTAATTACATTTGTTACCACTAATGGACTTTTCAGCACCAGCTGTTCATTACATAAACAGAAGATATGGTCTGGGGGAATTCATTGAATATTATTTCAAGGAGAGGATATTGTTGAGTTAGTAATTTAGTACTCTTTATCTATGTGTGGGCTACTTGAATATTTCCTTCATTGGTTAGAGATTATCTCAATATCTTGCAAGTTGAATTTGTAACACTTCCTTTATTAGTGAACATTCTCAATGTATGCTTTTAATAAGTATGACAGTGCCTCTTTCTTACTCCTTACATGACATGCATATCCCTCATGTAGGCTAATGCTGTATTTGAGTATTCTAATGAATCATTCCTGTTTTTGGCCTGTTTGAATTGTTGGCGTGACTTGCTTTGTGTAATTTGAACCAGCAGAGCTGCAGAGGGATAATATGTATCGACTGTTCCTCAAATAACAGTGAGCTAACAGGGTAGTTATTAGATACCACACTTCCTGTTGCTATTAACCAACTTGAAACCAATTAACTTTTACCATAACCATCCTAAATTCCTAATCCCCCACCCCCCCAACTCTTTTTACACATTTGAAACTAGATCTTAGTATGCATTAACTGTGAAAAGCAACATCAATAATAAAGGGAATGGAAGCAGAAGTAGGAAAACAAATTTTATACGGAGTAATAATGTTATAACTACTGAAAAGGTAATGGAACCAAGGGTAAATCAAGAGAGTTTCAATTCTAGTTGCATTGAAATCCATAAAGATTCCAAATAAGAGCTCTTTTAACTACTACGTATTTCAACTTTTCAGATCTAAATACATGACCATGACTTCAGGCTAGTGCTGGATACATCAACCCTGAACTTGGACAGCTTGTTCTCCTCTTCCTTAAATGATAGTTTATCTGAGGGCTAACTCATTCCTCTTTGTGGTTCACAGAGACTGTGGTTGGCGAAATTCAGACTTGTTACCAGCATGCCAAGATCCTTGTGTGGTCTGTCTTGAAGGGAGGTGCACTGTAGCTTCCGAAGGTATAGCATCAAGTTTTATTGCCTTTGTTGTTTCCAAAAGTTTTTTACCATTTGTTTTTCATTATTAAGTATTAGTTTACAGCTCTTTGAATCTGTGACCGGCGTTTTACCGTTCTAAAGTCAATCTTAAATAAAAAAAAGAATAGCCTTTACCTTCATCTTCATCTTAACCTGGCTTAAGTTCAACGAATTTTATGAATTATCATATTATTTGGTCAGAGCAAAGTGTTTGAATTACTGGATAGTTAAACTTTTTACATCTTAGAAAGCTAGACTAGTGATATGATAATTTAGCTATATTAGACGCAACTTTGTTTGACACTTTGGTGAAAGTCTCTAAGAGCAATCGTGAATGTAGACAATCCATGCATTACAAGCTTATATCTAAATTTTATAAATCAATGCATTAGTTTTGTCCCTGGGAAAGAACCTGTGAACGTCAATGTAATATATGTTCTGTACAGGTTGTGGTCACGAGTTTTGCGCTCGTTGTGCATTATACCTTTGCACCATGAACTGCTCTTCGACTGTTGCCAAAGGTCCTCCAGGCTCAATCCCATGTCCTCTATGCCGTCATGGCATTGTCTCATTTGTCAAACTACCCGGGACAAGATCCATACCCAAGGAGATTGGGAGGACGAGCTTGTCATTGTCTTTTTGTGGGTGCTCATATGAGAAAAACGAGCGTGCCTCTCTGACAATTCCTCTTTGCATGCCACCTCCCGTCTCTTCCACCTCCAGCCGAGTCTCCCCTTCAAGTTCCTCATTCCGTTCTTTGAGCTGTCAAAGATTTCCATCAATGAAACTCAACTCTGGTTTCTGTATGGGAGGATCAGAGACTAGTCCTTCTATCATTGGAGGGTCCGTGAACCAGAGTTTAAGGAACCAGTTGGGTAGGTGCGGAAGAGTGAGATTACGTCGATCATCTTCTCATTCCGAAGGCCGGAAATCTTGGTTTTGTTCTCTCAACCAATATGCTGCTGCTAGTAATTGATTCATCCTTCTTTTTGCTGGTTTCTCATCAGCATCAATATATTTAGAGCCAATCGTCAAAGCACGGTCCGCTCATCCTAGCCTGACACGGCCCATGTTCAGCTCTAATCCTTTTTCATTTTTTCATATTTCCTTACAGAGGCATGTCTTGTGCTCCTTTTTTTTCCCACGTTTCTTGTATTAGTTGTATAGAAATTGATATTGTAATCCCCAAAATTCTAGAAAAAATAGAAGGGAAAATATAAAAGATCATATATATATACACATATGTTGTAAATACTTGTATTGATTACTCCTTATGTAAAACTTATACTGTAAGAGACATATTGAGCTATATAAAAAAAGACAAAAATTTTGCTGTGTACAAGGCAGAATTACTTCAATTTTTTGGTAAATGAGACAATGATTAAGGATGTGCCAAACTACCCTTAATTTTTTGGCATATGAAATTGATTTTGTCTTATTTGTCAAACTACCTCAATTTTTTGACATATGAAATTAATTTTGGCACACCCTTACGTGAGAAGAGTATAGAAAACTGTGCTCTCACATAGAGGTGTGTCAAAATCATTTTTGGTATGCCAAAATCATTTTCCATTTTTTGGATATGCCACATAATCCCTCAAAGTAGAAATATTTTGTTTTTTCTGCTATAAATATTTTTAATTATTTATTTTAGGAAATGTGTTAAAATAAGGAAATATCCCAAGTGAAAACTTTCAGTTTTTTTTAAGTTTACAAAAGATTGAACCTATTTTCTGACTTCTGACAATCTCTTTCAATATAGCTGTATAGGATTTTGATGTTACTTTATCAGTTTAAAGGGTTAAGGCGTTGGAGTTGAGCCATGATTTCTGCCAGTCAAATTTATAGTACTATAATGGTGCAAATCAGTTTATTTTGCTATGAGTTCTTATTAAAAGTCAAAACCTGCACATGCATTAGGGAGATGACACTTTCATTGAGCAATTTGTTTCACACATTCACACCTATCACAAATGACTTGTGTCGCCCCTTTTGTCGTAGCCCAATTTGTTGTTACCCAATTTGAATCATGTGATCTAAATTCGAAAGTATTTGTGAATTCTCTAAATTTATTTAACTAGATTATTGATTATGTTATCTGAAATAGTTCATTGACAATAGACTATGGATATGACTTGAATAAAATCGAACTAAACTAGATGCTAATGTTTGAATTGAATATGACCCAAATCAACTCAAACTTAATAAAATTGAACTAAACCAGATGCGTGTGTTTGAATATGATCCAAGTTAACTCGAACTTTAAAAAAAAAAAAAAAAAAAAGGACTCATCTTTGAGTATGACTAGAAACACACTTCTGCCATTAATTCTACAAAGATTACCAATTAAACTTATTGTGACCATCTTTCATGGGCTCATGAGTCATGACTATACAAAGTGATTTGACACTAAGCTATCAAATTTTCTCAAAATTATTTATGACTTCCAAATAAAAAGGATTAAAATAGTTAAATTAGTAAGTAAATTTTTCTTTAATGAATCTTTCTTCTGTTGTGATTTGACAGTCGGATTTCAAACTACATTTGAAGTGATTTTCCTAACCAGAAAAACATACATTCTCATTCCTTTATACTCTAAACCACTCAGTAACACCATGCATCCCACTAAAATTACACCATATACCAGAATTAGATGTAAAAATTAGTTCTTTACACTTGTGCTTTATTTTTTTCCGCTAAGTTTGGATAAAAATTAGTTGACGGTTAGAAAGTTAAAACTTAATTTTATTAACAAGCCCTAAAAAAATTTATTACCAATACAATTGATAACAATGGTGCTTGATTTAACAAGATTCAACCGATAATGTAAAATAAAAATACAAATTTCATTTAATTTAATTTCGCATTTTTTCTTATTTAATGCCATGCATACTGCATAGGAATATTACAAAGAGTACAGTATAACAAAAGACCTAAATAGACAGTACATACTATCTTTCAAACGAAAGAGGGGAAAAATTATAAAGCATATATATCTGCCTATGAAGAACTAAGTACAAGATCATGAATATGAAGCATATTACAACCTCAACCCCTCTTAAAAATCATATGTAATCTTACAATAACATCTCAAGAATCGAATGAACTAAGCTCAGAAGGGACAGCCGGCCAAGATTAGTATGGGAGATTTGATTAACATGGAGAGAAAAACAAGCTAAAAAAGGGGAAAGAAAGGTGGTTACAAAGAACAAGAAACATAGAAAAAGCCTTGCAAGGCCAAGAAAAACACATGACAGCCAAAGGGTAGATGTTTACCCTATAACATGGATGTGCAGAACAAAAAGAAAATGCTGAGAGAAAAGAGATCACGTCAACAAAATAAGCAAAATAAGAAAAACGTAGAAAAAATACGTATGGAAAGAAGCTCAGCAGCGATAGCGCCTGTAGATGGCTTATTCAATCTTCATTGGTATGAACATAAACAACGTTGCTCTCTCCACTTTGGTGGCAGCAAGGAGAAAACATGGTAAGAGTAGTAGTTCAAAGGAACTATTATTACGCTTAATAGGCATATAAAAATGAAGAGAAACTTCTATCATAATGTTGTGAAATGATAGAACAATTTAGTTGATGTTATATTGAAGAGACTGATACCTAATTACTCGTATTTATATAGGCAGAAAGTAAGATATGAAGGGAAATAAATAATTGTGAGCTAAAATTTGCTGACATTCCAAATAGGTGTAAAGGGGTTTTTGCAATGTACTGACGAAAGCTGAAACAATGAATAGAAATAGTTAACCGTAGTAATTGAAAGCCAAATATGGAGTAGATGCAAATTTACTGTCTTTTGAACTAACTTTAATACAGTAAATAAAAAATAAAAACATTAATTGCTTATTACTTATTTTATGTAAGAGTTTAATTTTCATCTTCCAATTTTATGGTCATACGAAGTAAAATTTATGATGTATGCCTAATTTATATGGAGTAGTCTACTATCTAGTAAATTAGTAATTCGTTATGAGTCGAAAGATTTTAAATCTCATCTATGTACGAGTGTGTTTGATAAGATTAAATATCATCTCTTTTAATACTTAAAGATATTAGATGTTGGATATTAAAAGTATTTTAATGGACTAATGGCTAAAATTAGATAATGTTTGATAGCAATTATACTAATTATTAATTAAACCCTAGTTTTTAATTGCATCCTCTATATGTATCAACATCTCCCTTATAATTGTCGTTGACTAGCCATACCGAGTAGCATTATTAATGTAGGTACATTGGGAATTTTATCTTCTTCACTCATGTAATATCTTATTAACATGTAAATATATATTAAGTCAAAGTGTAACGTAGAAAATAAACGACATACATAAATTTTTACACAATCAAATTGCATATGTACCCTCTTATTTTCAATGGATATAATTTTATAAAACATTCAATTTGAATCTATTTGAACCTCATATTATATTATACGGAGAAGTATCGAAGTGAATTAAAACATTGGAATAAATACGATAATATGATTTTTTTTTTTAAAGAAAATAAAAAATTAGTAGGATCACCAAAATTCTAGCAGTTGAATGAATGAGATGTCAATAGGATTATAGGGAGAGTGATGTGTCCGGATAAAAACCAAGGACAGAAGCAAATTAAAGGCAAAGTCTATAATGTGACTGAACGAATTAAAACAACTGGTCTGATCTGATAAATGATAAATGATAAATGATAAAATGGTGTATCTCTAATCTCTGTCTCACATCTTTTGCCTTCTAACTCACGTTACATACTACTCGTAAAGAATAACTTGGCATTAAGGCTTGTCAACTCTGTGCTACAGAATACTCTACTTATATTAATAGTGTTTTTGGACATGATGCATGATTCCCATCTACGTTGTGTTTTTGTCAACTCTATAAAATAGTGAAGTACTGTTACTTCATCCAGTTCAGAAATAATTAGTTCTTGCATGCATAGTTGTGTTTATAGTTCAATTTATACAACAAATAGGTTTGGACAAAAATTAGAAAATACACTTAATTATACATGTCACATTTGTTTCTTAATAAATGTCTCACTTTAATTGGAGAATGGAGATGTAACAAATTTCATATGTCTAATATTTTATTCAATTCATTCAACTCCTTAAAGCTTTTGTGATGTTCAAGATGATACAATTAAAAAAATTTAGTGATTACTAGGTTTGGCCACGTTCAATTTAATTTTAGGGTATATTTTGGTATTGACTTAGATGTTTATTCCCCGAGATCTGCACTTAGCATTTGTCAAGATTAATTATCTCGGGTTAATTTATGTTTATGAGTTAGTTGAAATGAATCCTTTATAATGAAACAAAGTTTATTAATACGAGTATGTTGTTACCTGTGTTATTTTATGTTTAACTCACTTATGAAGTAAGTAGTACTATAGATACTCAATTTAAGAAATCGTTGAAAAATGTCAATAGACGTAAGATAAAGTAAGAAAAAAACGTAAAAAGATAAATATGTATAAGAAAAAATAGTACTCCCTTTGTCCCTTATTGTTTGCACCATTTGATCCAAAAAGCTCTCACATAGTAAACATGTGCGGATGCAATAAGGGATAAAATGGGTCAAATGAACCCACTTACTTTGGTGTAAAATTCTTAAAATATAGTAGAAGCAATGGATTTATCTTTCTTTTAATCAAACTTGGCCCCACTTACATAGTTACATTGGAGTTAAATGAGGTTTTACACTTCTATTATGGCATTATTGTTCTATAGATTGTCTTCATGGTATAAGACACAAAATTAAAAATAATAATAATAATAATAGACAGAAATAATTTGAGCTAATACAATGTTAATAAATTTTCAAAAATTTAATTTTACAAGATGATCCACTCATAATTTAAGTATGAAAAACGTCACTCGCTAAATTGAACCCACTTAATTAGAATTTTAGATCCGTCACTGCACATAAAGTGAGTCCACGGTGTAAACAAAAGGGGACTAAGGGAGTAGTAAATTAAGCAAGAGAGAGAGAGTATGAAAATGGGTAATTATGATGAAATTAAGAAAAAGAAAATTAAAAAAAAAAACAAATGAAAAGTGAGTATAACAAAAAAGGAATATAGGGAGTATTTTAAAATGAATAATGCACAATCTGGTAGAATAGTACTAGTACTCTAGTAGTATATGGGATGTCAAGGGTTGGTTTCTCATAAATGTCAATCTTTGTCTAAATAACTTTTGAAATATTAGTGATTTGATTTAGTAGAAAAAACGATTTTTTTTTTTTTTTTTTGGAAAAGAAAAACACACGATTAAAATTAGCTCCATCTTCTCTCTCACCAAAAAAAAAAAATGTAGCATGAAAATTCTAATTTGTACTCGTAGTAAA